TGCTGAAGGTTGCGAGTGAGTCTCGCCGCTTCTTCGATAATGAGCTTGCGCTGCTTCCAAGCGGCGCTAGGCGTGAGCGCAGCCTTGGCAATGTTGTCCTTCAGAAAGTTGAAGTGGCGCTGGTAGGTGGGGTCGTGGAAGATGATCGGGTCGATAGCTTGCTCTTCTGGCCGTGAGGGTGAGGCGCTGACCAGAAGCTAATGAAGAATGGCATGATCGCTGAGGCCTTTGCCGGGTAGTGCTGCACCGTCTTTGTAAATCTTCAGGCGCGCGTCCACGTTCACCAGGTCGATGCCCGAGAGGGAGATGAATACGCGGTCGATTGCCGTGGCCGCTTGCGTTTTGGCCGAGAAGCGCGCGGGGGGGTCGCGCGCGAGCTCTGTGAGCGAAGTCAAGAGTTGGCGCCACCGCGCCTGCTCACGCTGATATTGCCCGTCAGGTGCCATAGGCCGCCAGCGCGCGGAAGGATCCCTGCAGTTGAAGGGGGGGGGGGGGGGGCGCGCTGGCATTGAGGCCGCCGATGGCGATGAAGAGTCTTTGCTGAAGCGCTGCTGCTGCCCAGCTCCGTGAGGCGTGCCACGCCTCGGCCACTCTGTCCATGTCTGCTGCCGCCAAGTCATGATTGTGTACGTTCGTAATGGGCGTCTCGAAGCCCGTGGTGTGAGTAGCACTGTGCAGGGCGGCCACTCGCCCGCGGATAAATAGCCAGAGCGACGTTGCTGTAGAGGTCGGTGTAGGTGTCGGAGCCAAAAAAAGGCCACTCCCCCTTTGCCACGGTTGAAGGGGCAGCCGCTAGAGTATACTTGATATGCATACGGAAGTTTGCCGATGTGCGATTCGAGATCCAATTGGGAGCCGTGTGCTTCTTGCAGGGCAGCCAGGGCCTGCTTGCGCATGAAGGGAGTAATATGCCTTATCTCCCCCCCCATCTCTTGCAATCACCACGACAACGAAGGCCTGTGGCATTCCAACAGATGTAGCTGCCTACGGCCTCTGAGATAGTAGGTATGGTAGCAATCCGCGTCGGCTTGGTTGGTACGACGAGTCTGTGAAGATGTGCTGGACGAGGAAGAAGAAGATGTTCTGCTGGCGCTGGAAGAAGAAGCGTTGCCCGATGATGAGCTGAATCCCGAGACTGAGGCCACCGAAGTCTTGTCGGTCTTGGGGAGACGATCTTGTTCTGGAAGAAGAAGGGCTTGAGCTGGGTGAAGTAGGTCATGTAAGGGAAGAAGTGCTGCTGCGGGACTCTCCAGGCCCGTGAAAACTGAAATATTATTCGGGGGGCTCTCCAATCCCTCGGGGGCAACAGGGGTGTCCCGATCCCCGCGCGCCTGTCGTCGCGGTACGGCCTGTGCACGGTGAGACCTATGATGCTGTGGAACGTGCCCGAGTTCACGTGGAGCGCGATCAAGAAACTGTGGAGCGTCAGCAACGGCAGGACCAGGTGGACCCTGTTCAAGTGCTGGTCGAAGGTGCTGGAGAGGATGTGGTCGCTGCCCTGCACGTACGTCAGGTCCAGGAGGGCGCGCATGATCAGCATCAGTTGCAGGTGTCCGCCATGGCGACCAGCGTTTGTTAAAATCACTGCGCTGTATCCTCGGCGTTGTAGAGAGCGGCAAATATCGGCAAATTCTGCAGCGATAGTGGCCTTGTTGATGGGAACCTTGGCCAACGCATCTTGATTCCAACGAATGAGGGTTGCCGCGTCCATGCTAGTGAGCTCCAGTTTGGCGGTGGGGATGGCGTTGCAAAATATACGCCCTTGACCGCGACGCGCACGCCAGGAGGAGGAGGAGGCGGAGGAGAAGGAGGAGGAGGAGGAGGATGCGGAGGAGGAGGAGGAGGAGGCGGAGGAGGAGGAGGAGGAGGAGGACGGGTCGCCTAAGCTCTTCGGAGAAACCCTCCACTGCTGGCCTCTGAGCCCCGCGCTGGCTCTGTGTATCCTGCCTTGTCACTGGCGGCGCGCAGAAGGAGAGCGGGGGGAGAGGGGGAAGGAGGCTGTTTCTTAGGAGGCGCGGGCCCTACATCTACAGACGAGGCCCGCGCCTCCTAAGAAGCAGCCCCCTTCCAAGAAGTCTTCCCCCCTCCCGCTGCCCCCCCCTCTGCGCGCGGCAGGTGCCACCTCGCCCCGCTCGGGAGCTCGCGCGAACGTGCCGAGGCGATGGGCCCCCCCAGGGTTCAGAGCTGGCCTCGGGTTCGCGCGAACCCGGGGGTCCACTCCTTGTCCCTTCGCTCCTGCGCTGCGTTTCGCCCACCGCGACTGCGACTGCGACTGCGACCCGCATTGCGCACCCTGTGGGTGCCGCGGGTCGGGGCCGAAGTGTCCATCACACGTTAAAGTGCCTGACAGGAATCTTGCTCTAGATCATTCCACGCATCTCGCGTGGCAAACCTCAGGAGTAGATGAACAGCATCTCGCGCTTCACGTCCGTCTGCGCAAGCTTTCTGTTCTTCCGGGGTCAACATGTCTTGGCGCTGCGACGCTTTGGTCGGTGAGGGCGTTTCTCATTGCACTGACCTTGCAGAAGTGCTGCAGCGGATTTTCGCGTAGAGTTCTGTCAAGAAACGGCGAACGAAAGACGAAGTGAATGTCACGTGGATTTTTCGTAGTCTTCATTCCTGGCCAACAAAAAATCCGCGCAAAATTCACCTCGAACTCCGGAGCGAAATTCTCCAGGACACTCCGGCCCCATCCTATTTTTCCGAACGAGATCCGCTCTGCGATGTTGGCGCCATGAAACCTTGAATATGGGGGGAATGCGCAGGTGTTGAGCAGGGACCGACCGTCCCGGCATTCCTATAGGCCTGCCACGGAATTCTCTTCGAACCCAAAAACCAAACATGTTCTAAGAACAGCAACGATGTTCTTTGAACATAATCCCGATGTGTTAACCAAGACCGCCTCAGCCTGAAATGTTCGAATGGCACTTCGTCGAGACCACAAAAAGTTATTAGAACATTGTTTGGTGGGACTAAGGCGAGCCAAGACGCTTCGCCACTGCTTGGGAGGGCCGCGGAAACCGTGAGCCCACTTTTTTCCCCTGAGTGCCCCGGCGCTGGCCACTTTCTTGTGAGGGTTTTTTTCTCTTCGCCTCCGCCTGCCGTCGCCGGCGGGGGCCACCCTCACGGCGTGCACCCGCCAACTGCTGCGGGGACCTGCGCGGCAGCTTCCGCCGATCCATTGCTGTTTAAAGGGGGTGCACATGAGAGCGGACCACGTTAACCGACAACTCATGCCAAATACCAGCCAACAATCAGTCAGTACCCGGTTAAATGGCAGGCTTGACGAAAACAGCAGCACGGCGCTCCCCTCACATGATCACTCCGATGCCCGTCAGGGCAGCAGCGAGCGAATAAGAGTCTGCGACTGACCAAGACCACGCCGCTCCCTCGTCTTCGTCCCCTCCCCCCCGCTAATCCTTAGATGAAGCGCCCTCATCCAGACATCCAGCACTTCGGATTTCTCGATAATGTGGGCCCCAAGACCTCGCACCCTTGACCTGTGGCGCTTGCTTCATCCAAAGTCCTCGTTCGACGGCCCCGAGCCCCGGAACCGGCTCCCAGAGGCACAGAGTGGCGACAGACCGGTCGCCTCGAGTTTTCCGCAGCCGTGGATGCCTGGGAACTGACGGGGGATCTCCTCCATCTCCTCCTCCCCCTCCCCCTCCTCCACCTCCTCCCCCTCCTCCACCTCCTCTTCCTCCTCCTCCTCCTCCTCCTCCTCCTCCTCCTCCTCCTCCTCCGCATCCTCTCCAGGTCGGAGGTCCTTGGACACGCCCAACACCTCGTGCACCTCCCTGAAGAGCGAGCGCGTGGCATCCGCTCCCACCTTCCGGCAAGCGGGCGGGGTCCTCTCTCCATTCGGCCCTGAACGCCTCCTCTTGCCCCCTACAGTCCGCTCCCCAGACCTCCAACGTCTCAGATAAATGGCGCCCGAGGTATCCGATTTTCGGCGCCCGGGGGCCGTTCCCGAGCAGTGGGGCCATCAAAGAGTACGCCCTACATCCACATGTCTGGCTTCGAGCCTCCTCTCCCTTTTACCTCCCTTGCCACCCTCCTTTCCCTATCCCATCATTGAGAAAGCGTGATCCACCGCCGCTTTGCTGTGGAAAATTCCCCCCCTCTTGCTCCGGAACCCGGGGGTCCCCCCCCCCCCCCCCCTCCGAAAATCCCCCCCGACTCGAACCCCCCATCCACCCCCCTTCCCGGCAAGAAGCCCCCCCCCCTTCCCCCCCCCCCCCTCTCCCGAAAATCAGGGGGGGTCACTACGGTTCGCACCCCCCCCCCTCCGGAAAACCGAAGGGGGTCACTACCGGTTCAAGCCCCCCACCCCCTCCACTCGCCGCAGCCAGCAAACGACTCCCGGATCCCCACCACCGTCCTCACCACCGCCCTCACCACTGTCCCCACCACTGTCCCACTGTCTTCACTGTCCCCACCACTCTCCCACCGTTCCCACCACTGTCCCCACCGTCCCCACCAGTGCCCCCACCACTGTCGCACTGTCCCCGCTGTCCCCACCACCTGTCCCCACCGCCACCACGGTCCCACTCTCACCACTGTCCACACTGTCCCCACCGCTGTCCTACTGTCCCCACTGTCCCCACCATTGTTCCACTGTTCCCACTGTCCCCACGGCTGTCCCACTGTGCTGTCCCACTGCCCCCACTGTTCCCACCACTGTCCCACTGTCCCCACTGTCCCCACCACTGTCCCCACTGTACCACTGTCCCATTGTCCCACCACCAACTTCACCAGTGCCTTCACCACTGTCCCCACCACCACCGTCCCCACCACTGTCCCACTGTCCCCACTGTCCCCACCACTGTCCCACTGTCCCCACTGTTCCCACCAGTCCCCACTGTCCCCACCAGTGCCCCCTCCACTGTCGCACTGTCCCCACTGTCCCTACCACCGTCCCCACCACTGTCCCACTGTCCCCAGTGTCCCCGCCACTGTCCCCACTGTCCCCTCACCACTGCCCCCACCACCGCCTTCCCCACCGCTGTTCCACCGTCCCCACTGTCCCCCACCACTGTCCCACTGTCCCCACTGTTCCCCACCACTGTCCCCACTGTCTCCACCAATGCCCCCACCACTGTCGCACTGTCGCACTGTCCCCACTGTCCCCACTGCCGGCGGCGAGGAGGGGGTGGAGGGGAGGTTCGAACCGGCAGTGACCCCCCCCTTTTCATAATGGACCGGGAGGGGGGGGGTTGAACCCCCAGTGACCCCCTCGGTTTTCGAGGGCGGGGGAGGGGGAACGGGTTGGAAATTCGAAACTCCCAGTGACCCCGCCCAGTTGTCTAACAGTAGCGTCAGAACACGCTCGTTCCCATCTTTGAACCTATCCGGCTTGAATTTCTTTTGGGCTGCCACCCGTTCCATCCAGCGCGTGAAAGGACACGTGTTGGCCACGTCCTTGAACCTCTCCTGAACCCCTCCTCTCCCCAGTTTTCCCCCCAAACCACTCCTCTCTTCGTAGTCTCCCCACTCCTATTCCAAGCGCTCCGTGGTGTAACGCCCTGCGTCCCGGCACGCTGTGTATGATGCTCACACGCTTCGCACCGAACACCCCACTGACATCGCGCAGCGCGCGCACGAGGACGGTCACCTTACCTCTCTTCGAAGGGGGTGGTGATCATCATCGTCATCATCACCATCATCATCAGCAGCAGCAGCATCACCACCACCACCATCATCAGTATCATCATCATCACCATCACCATCACCATCATCATCATCATCGTTAGCATCATCACCGCCATAAACATCATCATCAGCCGCATCATCATCCACATCATCATCACCACCATAGCCGTCATCACCATCGCCATCATCATCACCATCGTCATCATCATCATCATCATCATCACCACCATAGCCGTCATCACTATCGCCATCATCATCATAATCATCATCATCATCATCATCGTCATCATAATCACCATCACCACCAGTATCATCAACATCACCTTCATCATCACCACTACCATCATCAGCATCAACATCACCATTAGCAGCATTGCCGTCGTCGTCATCAGCAGCACCAACACCAGCATCAGCACTAACAGCATCATCATCACCACCACAACCATCATCACTACCAACATCAACATCGACATCGGCATCATCACCAGCACCCGCGTCAACGCCAACGTCGTAGTCATCGCCATCGTCACCATCCTTCAGGATGTACTGTATTCCTCCCCAGGAGAAGGCATGGGTGGGAGGGTTCGGATGCTGGATGTGGCACGGGCGAACCTGGCTGCCCTCCACCGTCTCTGTCCCCTCCTCTCCCTCCTCCACTAACGGACACCTTCAGAGCAGCTCCTTCTCACTGGACGGCATCAAACTCCTCAGGTGCTCCAAAGTCACTCAGCACGAATTTCGTGGACGGCAGCAACTCCATGGCCCCCACTGCGGCCGAATTACGGGACTCACTCAGCGAAGAAGATGTCCTTCTCGACCGCTTCTCTGGTCAACAGATACATCCTGGCAAGATTGTCGGCTGGGCCATCGGCGAAGATCTTCACCACCAGGTGCCCGCTCTGAGTCTCAGCGGCCAGCCCCTGAAGACCCACCACCATGTGAAACTTGTCTTCGGTCGGGCATGTCCCCCCACAGGCAGATTTTGGGCGATAGATTAAAAAATACCCGCAAAAAATACGCCAAACGTTGCCGAAAATAGTCAAAAACTCGTCCACTGATTATTTTTTGAACTATTTTTGAATTTTCCCCCTGTAGAGGGGCACGCCCGATTTAACATCAGCCCCCAAGCCAGCCGACCTCAACCCCTCCGCCACGGCCGACGCCCCGCGTCCGTCGCGTAGAGCCATCGCGAGGCCGCGACGCGTGGGCCACCTCCCCGAGGGCACTCACGCGCGGGCCGGGTCAACATGGCCACTCGTGGCCAGCATGTGAACCACGGGCACTGACGTCCAAGCGCCCAGCGCCGAAAGGCGCGACATCATGCACGGCGACACCTTCTTCGCCGCCGTCCGCCCCAAGGGGCGCACCTGGATGTCCCAAGGGGCACCCGCTTCGCCCTCGCCACGCCGGGCAACGCCCTCGAGCTTGATGCCAACAGCCGGCGTGAAGCCGTGCTCGGCGTGCGCCGTGCCCAGGTGCCGCGGGGCACCAGTCCCAGGGCACAAAGCCGCAGAACCGCGCGACCACGCACAAAGCTTCCAGGGGGGTTGTGGCCCCTTATCGGCAGAGTGTGGCGCACAGTCGCCCAACTGGAATGGAAATGGCCCTCCGTCGGCACCATGCGTGACGACGAGGGAACCCCCCTTGCGTGGCTAAGCCTTCCGTTAGGGCTTGTCACACACGTGTTGAGAGCGTCCCAGCGCAGATCCTTCCTTCGCCGCATACCAACCACCCGCCACGACCTTGGCGCGCTGACTGCCGTGCGGAAGGGCATCGACTACGTCGCCACGACGTGGACTTGGCTCCAGCGCACAAATGGCAAGGCCCGATGTGCAGCCTGGCAGCTGGGCTGCCGTCCGGCTACCTCTGCGGGGGGAGCACACGCAACAGCGGCGCACCCGTGCTGGCCCCTCCGCCGACGATTCCCCCCTGCGCGCTGGCGCAATGAGGAGGGAGATCTTCAGGAACACGCCGTCTGGCGATGCCCCCGCTGGGCCCACGAACGAGAGGCTCTGCGCACCACGCGCTCCCAGGATTGACGGCGCGGCCTGCCGCCGCGCATTCGCCACTGCGGTCTCCTTGAAGAGGACCCTCGTCCTCCTCCTCCTCCTCCTCCTCCTCCTCCTCCTCCTCCTCCTCCTCCTCCTCCTCCTCCCTCCCCCTCCCCCCCTCCTCCTCCTCCTCCTCCTCCTCCTCCTCCTCCTCCTCCTCCTCCTCCTCCTCCTCCTCCTCCTCCTCCTCCTCCCCCCTCCTCCTCCTCTCCCCTCCTCCCCCTCCTCCTCCTCCTCCTCCTCCTCCTCCTCCTCCTCCTCCTCCTCCTCCTCCTCCTCCTCCTCCCCCTCCTCCTCCTCCTCCTCCCCCTCCTCCTCCTCCTCCTCCTCCTCCTCCTCCTCGCCTCCTCCTCCTCCTCCTCCTCCTCCTCCTCCTCCTCCTCCTCCTCCTCCTCGTCTTCTCGACATCCAGGCCGACCTGGCCCATGGCGTCCTGCCGCAGCCCCTCCCGCAGCCGCCGCCCGAGGCCGCAGACGCAGACGCCTGTGATCAAGGGGCCCAAGGACACACACAAATAAATACACACAAATCAAATGATTCACAATATGTTCCCATATTTCCTGGGTTTCTGTCTTCCCACCCAATGCCCATATTTTCCCATATTTTCTTGGGGATCGACGATGAATTGCGTCTGTGTGTTATTCCCCTCCTGATGAAAGGAGTACACCGACGGTGCCACCAGGTGGCGGTGGGTGTACGCGGCCACCGACGGGGCCTGCTCTCACCAAGCACACCCTCTCCTGGCTCAGGCTGGTTACGGCGTCTTCTACGGCCCAGACCACCGCCTAAACTACCCGGCCAGGGTTCACAGCCTGGCCCAGTCAGCCCAGCGAGCGGAGACCCTGGCCGTCCTCCACCTGGTCACCACGGCCAAACACCCCGTGCACATGTTCATCGACAATCGAGCGGTGGCCGACGGATTGGAAGCCCTCCTCGCCGACCACCTTCACCCCATTACAGGCTCTCACGCCGATCTCTGGCGGAGCAACTATCCACCGCGTCGCGCAGGCCAAACCAAGCCTGGTCCAGGTCGAAAAAGTCGAGAGCCACCTCGGAAAACAAGGGCTTAACGACGGCCTCATGTGCGAGGCGGGGATCTATCCATATCCACCGCCTGGGAACCGACGTCCTGGTGCCCCTGCGGGCGGCGGTTATGGATACATTTTGGCCCCCGGGGGCCCGAATATGTCCATGTCCATCGCCTGCCGAGGTCACCGAAAATTGTTCCTCCAGGCGGATGTCCTGTAGAAATTCCTGCCTCGGATCATGCCGCCCACGGCCGAGGCTTTCAACCGACACGCTGACCAACCGGCCGCGGCAGGCGCACCACCGCACCAGCTGCCGAGGGGCGCCACGGAGGCCCGCCAAAGGGCGCCAGAAGTTTGCGGCTGTGCCCCGGCGCGCGGCGGCGGCCGCCTGCGAACGCCGCCGCCGCCCCCTGCCCCTCCCCAGCCGCGGGGCTGGGTATACCTAGGTCGGGCATGTCCTCCTGCAAGGGGATTTTTGGGCGAAGAAATAAAAATACGCAAAAAGTGCCCCCCTAAAATATCCTAGCAATTCTCAACAAATCGTCCCTCAGGCAATTTTCTGATCATTCTTGAAGTTTCCTCCTGTACAGGGACACGACCGACGCAAGGGTACACGCACCCGCTCATAGCTCCAGCGCGGACGGCGCGCCGGGGACACCCGGCCCACCCAGGCCCGGTCCCCCAAGCCCCCCAGACCCACGAGGGCCCGACGACTTCGACGACCCCTGGGGCCGTTTTCTCGGCGACCTCGACGGCGACGAAGAAGACTCGCTCGGCCTCCGAGGAACCCTAGGCCCTAGACGACGATAACGACGACGATACAGGAGCCTCTTGCGCTCCGCCCCACGGACAACCCGCACCTGCCAGCGAGGACGACCCTCCTCCTAGCGACGCCGATGCGCACGACGCGCGCCACGGGGACGACGAAAACCCCGCTTGTCCCGCCGGCCCTGTCCACCACAGTGAGTCTGACGACCACCCCTTCCAGCCACCCCCTGCCAACCGGCCACTTGGCCGCTAGGTCCTGGCGACCAGGCCCTTTGCCTGCCAGGCTCCTTCCGCCTCGTTCAGCCCATCTCGCCCCGCCCGGGGTCAAAGCACCCGCCCCGCACGGACCACCTGGCGCGGAGTCGCGGGGGCGAGGCAAGGGGCCGCGAACCGTCGCCGTGACAGACCGTCGCCCCCAAGCCCCTGGCCGCCAGGCCGCCCCGCCCCACCTCCCCCCCCACTAACAGAGCCTCCCTTCCAACAGGGAGGCGGGGACCCCGCCAGGGACAGCCGCCCCCGCCCCTCGGACCGGCGCAGCGCACGCCCCCACTCCTGCGCGGCAGACCGGCAGGCCGCTCGCGAGTTCGAGATCCGCGCTGGCATCTCCGCGCTGCATGAGCGTGCCGCGCGCCTCGTGCAAACGCAGCGTCGCGCCCAGCAACAGGCGGGCCCCCTCCTCGCATGGCTCCAACGCGCCCGGTCCGCCTGGGACGCCACTCGCGCGGCGTCGCCACCTCCTCTCCCCCCTGGAACCCAGAGCCCGCCTCCACGAAAGCATCCAGGCGAGACTTGATGCTCACTGTCAGCGCAACAGCCGCTAGCCGATTTTGAACCGGGCGCGCGCGGCGGTCGTCGTCGTCGTGGTTCGTCCGTCGTCCTCGCGCGCGCCTCTCTCTTCTGTCCCTCCTCTGTGTCCCCGCGTCCCGTGCGAACGCTTGGCAATATGCTCCACGGGCCACGCTTTGGGTCGCGGTCGGGGGCGCCCCCACGTGACGCCCATGCGCGCATGGACCTGGAGGCACACATGCCAAAACGTGCTGCGCCCGGGCTTGCCTCCACCAAGGCCTGGCCCGAACTGTTGCGCTCTCTTCTCTCCTCCTCCGCTTCCTCCTTCAAAACCATCGCCCCCTTATCTTCCTCCTTCTCCCTCTCCCCCTCCTCCTCCTCCTCCTCCTCCTCCTCCTCCGCCTCCTCCTCCTCCTCCTCCTCCTCCTCCTCCTCCTCCTCCTCCTCCTACAAACTCCTTTCTTCTTCTTCTTATTATTATTATTATTATTCTTCTTCTTTTCTTCTTATTATTATTCTTCTTCATCCGCCTCCTCCTCTCCTCTTCCGCCGTTTCCTCCTCAGAAGACGCCGAATCATGTTCGGAATTCAGATTTACGCCGGCACGTTCGGAAACATAAAAACAAATGCCCGCGCCAGTGTATCAGGAAAAAAACAATCCCGCCGAACAAACACGAGAACCCTCTCCCACATCTCCCCCTCCATCCTCCCCGCCCTCCCTCCTCCTCTTTCGGGGGCGGGGGGGGGCGTCCAAGAGGGAGAGGTGCAAATCATGGCTGGCGGCACGTGCGCGGCCCAAGGGGGGGGGCCAGGGACGTTATGAAATCAGAAGGTGCGCCGTGAAATCTGTGGCCCCCGCCATGATATCCACCCCCCTTAGTCATCACCCCCGTCTTGGCCGCCCCCGACTCATCGGAGGGGCGCGCGCGCGTTCTTCGCCGCGGTCAGCTTCTGGCTCTGCTCCGCGCTCAGGTTCTGCCGTGGCGGCGCGGACAGGGGGGGCGGGCTGTGCAACACCGCCCCGCGGCATTGGGCCCCTGGAGCGCATGGCGTGAAGCGGGCCAGGCGACGCGGCCGGAGGGCGGGGAGGCGAGTCGGGAGGAGGAGGCTCCTGCTCCTGTCTCCCTTCTCGCGGCCCGCCGCCGTCGCCGCCCCCCCTCCTCGCCCCGCCTCCTCATCCTGCTTCTACAATTACTCAATATGAAAATACTCCCCCTCTTCCACTGATGGCGTCCGGGTGATGGCCGCGCACCCTCCGCGTACTGTTACCTAACAGCTTTTGCGATAGGTTTCTAGTCGGGTCAAAAGAAAACATCATGACTCCTCAGGGGGGTCTGGGCGGGTGCCGGGGAGGAGAACCGGGAATCGTTTTTCGCCAACAGTCACACACTTCGTGCTCTTCGACCTCCCAGAACTCCATTCCCGGGCCACATTCTGGAGCAACCGGGAACAGAGCCGAGCTCGTTTTTCATCACCAGTCACACACTTCGTGCTCTTCGACCTCCCAGAACTCCATTCCCGGGCTACATTTTGAATGCCCGGAACCAACTGTAGGCCACTTCGTGCTCTTCGAGTTCCCAGAACTCCACTCCCGGGCCATAGTTTGGATGCCCGGAGCCAACTGTAGGCCACTTCGTGCTCTTCGATTTCCCAGACGGGCCACATTTTGGATGCCCGGAGCCAACTGTAGGCCACTTCGTGCTCTTCAAGTTCCCAGAACTCCATTCCTGGGCATGATTTTGAATGCCCGGAGCCAACTGTATGCCACTTCGTGTTCTTCGAGTTCCCAGAACTCCATTCCTGGGCCACATTTTGAATGCTGCGGCAGGCTGATGCTGCGGCCGAAGCAGGCTGAGGCTGAGGCAGGCTGAGGCTGAGGCCGAGGCTGAAGGCAGACTGAGGCTGAGGCTGAAGCAGGCTGAGGCTGAGGCTGAGGCTGAGGCTGAAGCAGGCTGATGCTGAGGCAGGCTGAGGCTGAGGCTGAGGCTGATGCAGGCTGAGGCTGAGGCAGGCTGAGGCTGAGGCCGAGGCTGAAGGCAGACTGAGGCTGCGGCTGAGGCTGAGCAGGCTGAGGCTGAGGCTGAGGCTGAGGCTGAGGCTGAGGAGGCTGAGGCTGAGGCAGGCTGAGGCTGAGGCTGTGACTGCGACTGCCGTTGCCGCTGCGACTGTCATCGCGAATGCGACTACGACTGCGAGAACAGCAGAATTCTACAACTGGATTTCATCTGAATCTTAAGGGGAATGCTTTCAGATATGCTTCTACACATCGCTGTTAGGTTGCTTTGCCGGGATAATTTTTTAACACGCAGGATGCCCGGGAAATCCCGGGAAACGACTCTCGCTGAGGCGCCGGCAAGACGCCCCAAAAGGGGACGAGGTGCCCGAACGCCTCACGCCACGAGGAGCCCGAACGACTCACACCAGGACGAGGGGCCCGAACGACCCACACCACGAAGAGCCCGAACGACTCACACCAGAAGGAGGGGCCCGAACGACTCACACCAGGACGAGGCGCCCGAACGACTCACACCACGAGGAGCCCGAACGACTCACACCACGACGAGGGCCCCGAACGACTCACACCACGAGGAGCCCGAACGAGTCACACCAGGAGGAGGGGCCCGAACGACTCACACCAGGACGAGGGGCCCGAACAACTCACACCACGAGAAGCCCGAACGACTCACACCAGGACGAAGAGCCCGAACGACTCACACCACGAAGAGCCCGAACGACTCACACCAGGAAGAAGGGCCCGAACGACTCACACCAGGACGAGAAACCCCAAACGACTCAAACCACGAGAAGCGCTTTCTCTCCCTCCTCCTCCGCCTCGTCCTTCTCCCGCTCTCCCCACAAGGAGGATGAACAAGGAGGCGGGAGGGAGGAGGAACAGGGGAGATATGCGGGGCCAAGCGGACACACGCCTGAAAAACACGACTGTCGGCATGCTTCGCAAGAGTTGCTGTTGTGAGATGGCCTGGTGGGGATACGCGAAGCGTAAAGAATTTTTTAAAACACAGGATGCCAGGGAAATCCCGGGAAACGACTCTCGCTGAGGCGCCGGCGTCATTTTTTCCCAAAATGCTGCTCTCGTTGAGGCGCCGGCCTCATTTCTGCTCCCGAATCGTTCCGAATCGTGCTCCCGCTGCAGCGTGGGCCTCATTTTCGGATCGGTGTTTGGCCTCCGTCGTTCAGGATGGCGTTCTCGCCCCAGCGCGGGCCTCTTTCTCGCGCGCCCATCCGCCCGCCACCACCGCGCCGCACCACCACCACCACCACCACCACCACCACCACCACCACCACCACCACAACACACCAGCACCAGCACCAGTACCAACACCACCACCCACCAGCACCACTACCACCACCACCCCACCAGCACCACCACCACCACCACCATCACCACCACACCACCACCACCACCACCACCACCACCACCACCACCACCACCACCACCACCACCACCACGACCACCAACCACACACGCACGCACGCACGCACGCGCACCACCACCCACTACGCACGCGCGCGCGGAGCCACAGGTCCGCTACGACACGCGTCCGCGGATAGAGAAAATCAGCGCCATGGTAAGGGATGGGAGGGAGGGTAGGACGTCAGATATGACGCGAGCGCACCTAGCTTGTCCTGCCCCTCCCTCCTCCTCCTCTCCTCCTCCACTCCTCCTCCTCCCTCCTCCTCCTCTCCTCCTCCCTCCTCCTCCTCCTCCTCCTCTTCCCCCTCCTCCTCCTCCTCCTCCTCCTCCTCCTCCTCCTCCTCCTCCTCCTCCTTCTCCTCCCCCTCCTCCTCCTCCTCCTCCTCCTCCTCCTCCACTTCGTCCACACCCTTTCCTCACAGAGAACTCCTCCCCGCCGCGCCCCTCCGGGCGTGTCGAAGCATGGCGGGCCAGGCGTCGGGCCTGAGATTTCCTCGCCGTGTTGGGGATATAGGGAGGCTTGAGGTTCGCAGCAGCAGTTGCAGCGATGGAGCACACGTTCCCCAATGAGTGCTTGCACTGAAGGGGTCCTGGCGGAAATTGAAAGTTTAGGCGAACATTTCCCGCCGAGTTTGGTAGCCAGGGCTGGGTTCCCAGGTTCCCTGTTCCAGGCTCCCGGGTTCCTGGTTACCGGTTCCGGGCCGATTTCGGTGGGCTCCGGGTTCCCGGGTTCCCAGGTTCCCAGTCGATCTCGTTATCGATCTCAACCCATCCACTGATTATGGTTGTTTCGGGTGTAATGTTTTTCCCTACCTAGGGTCTGCCTAGAAGGGTTCTTACTCTCTTAGCTTAAAGGGGCCGGGCAGTGGAACACGCCCCGGGCGGTTCCCCCAGTCCCCTGGGAGCGGTTCCCCCCAGTCCCCTGGGAGCTTTAGCTTTAGCTTTAGCTTTAGCTTTAGCTTAGCTTTAGCTTAGCTGTAGCTTAGCTTTAGCTTAGCGTTTCGCTTAGCTTTTCGCTTAGCGTTTAGCTTAGCTTTAGCTTAGCTTTAGCTTAGCTTGAGTTTAGCTGTAGCTTAGCTTTAGCTTAGCTTTAGCTTGGATTTAGCTTAGCTTCAGCTTAGCTTTAGCTTAGCTTTAGCTTAGCTTTAGCTTAGCTGTAGCTTAGTTTTAGCTTAGCTGTTGCTCAGCTGTTGCTCAGCTTTAGCTTAGCTTTAGCTTAGCTTTAGCTTAGCTTTAGCTTAGCTGTGGCTTAGCTTTAGCTTAGCGTTAGCTTAGCGTTACTGTTACTACTAATGCTGCTTTCCTAGGGGTTCCAACTCCTAGGTAGGGTCGCACTGGGATAATTAAAACGATTCTCTCGCCTGAGCGCCGTGCGCATTCGCCTCGAAATACTGTAGCACTTACACTCGAGTGGAGGGCGGGCCAATCTCAAAATTACACGAGGAAAAAACACAATCAGTGGTTGTTTTCGCTGAAAAGATCGACCGGGGACCTGGGAGCCCAGGAACCCAGCTCGAGCCCACCGAAATCGGCCTGGAACTAATAACCGGGAGCCCGGGAACCCGAAACCGGGAACCCGGGAACCCAGCCTGCTACCAAAATCGGCGGGAAATTTTCGCCAAATCTTTCAAGTACACCAGAGAAAAACCCAATCAGTGGATAGATTCGCTGAGAAGATCGACCGGGAACCCGGTAGCCCAGGAATCCAGAACCCACCGAAATCGGCCTGGAACCACTAACCGCGAACCCAGGAACATAGAAGCGGGAACCCGGGAACCCGGGAACCCAGCTTGCTACCAAAATCGACGGGAAACTTTCGCCAAATCTTTCAACTTCCGCTAGGACCCCTTCAATGCAAGCACTGATTGGGGAACCTCCGCTAGGACCCTTTCAGTGCAAGCACTCATTGGGGAATGAAGTTCTCGCCTCGGCGCCGCGCACAGTCGCCCTGAAAGGGTGCAGCCGTTACCCAACAGCGGCGACGGCTCCTTTCCCCAAATGTGGCCCTCGCCTTGGCGCCAGCCGCGTTCGTCCTAAACCGTGGCACAGCTGCGAGGATGGACGACGGCTATTTTTGGCGGCGCGCCGAAGGGGGGTGGGGGGGAGGAGAGAAAAGGTTTCTTAGAAGCAGGCTGCTCCTTACGAGGCGCGAGCCTTGCCGATAGATATAGGGCCTGCGCCTTCTAAGAAGCAGCCTCCTCCTAAGTGTGGGTCGAGCGTGTCCCCCTACAGGCGGATTTGGGTGACAAATTCAGAATTGGCCAAACAAATCAATCAAAAGAAGGAATCAAACAATAGTCGAAACATCGTCCCAGGACTATTGTTTGACTATTATTGAACATCCCCCCGTGTAGAAGGACATGGCCGACTTAATCCTAAGAAGGCCCCCCCTCTCCCCCACGCGAACTGTTTTTTTTCTATTCGGCGTTTCGACATAAGGGGGAGGGTCTGGTTCTGGACCTCTGCTTGATTAGTGCGTGCGAGTGTTTGGACCCGTGCGTCCCGTGAGGGAAACTCCACCTGCTCGAAACAGGCGCCCCCAAAACGGCCAAGATCCACTCCCTGAGGGGGGGGAGGGGGGGGGGTGCGAGGGCCTGCGCCGATCGGCAAAAGAAGGAAAAACAAAAACGCTCACTCACCCCCCCCTCTCACGTGGAAGAGCAGCGGAGACGAGACCAAAAGAGGCAACGATGCGATGCTGCTGCAAGTCTTCCCTCGCCGCGTGTACTGAACCTCTTCACCTCAGGTGCACTCACCAACCCACACGCGCGCGTGCGCCCTCCTGTTGGGGCTTGAGCACCGACCTGGGGGGGCGCGAGGAGGAGGAGGAGGAGGAGGCGGAGGAGGAGGAGGAGGAGGAGGAGGCGGAGGAGGAGGAGGGAGAGGAGGAGGAGGAGGAGGAAGGATGGAGGGAGGGAGGGGAGGAGGAGGAGGGCAGAGAGGAGGGAGGAGGAGGGAGAGGAGGGAAGGAGGTGGGGGGAGTAGGAGGAGGCGGGAGGAGGAGAGGGAGTAGGAGGAGGGAGGAGGAGGAGGGAGAGGCGGAGGGGCGGAGGAGGGAGGAGGAGGCGGAGGGGGCCGCCCCGTGCCCCCGCCGCCACGCGGCACGCGCGGCACGCGCGGCGATCGCGTGGCGATCGCGCGCCGCCGTCCTCGTGCATCTCCGTCCGCGTCTTGCGGCCGCGCGCCACGGCCTGCACCCGGGCCACCTGCGAGGGCGCCGCCGCCGCTCGCCGCCTCGCCGCTCGCCCCTCGCTCGCTCGCCGCCGCGGCCGCTCGCCGCCTCGCCGCTCGCCGTGGCCCCTCGCCGATCCTCGAGCGTCGACGCTCCGGGCTCCCTGGGCGCTCCGCGGCTCCCCCTCGTGCGCCTCCAGAGACCTCCAGGGGCCTCCGAGGGAGGGAGGGAGGGAGGGAGGGGGAGGAGGAGGAGGAGGAGGAGGAGGAGGAGGAGGAGGAGGAGGAGGAGGAGGAGGAGGAGGAGGAGGAGGAGGAGGAGGAGGAGGAGGAGGCTTCGAGGGTCGGGGCCCGAGGAGGAAGGCACCCTCGATCCTCGCGGGCCCGGTGCAGCCGCAGGCCTCGCCGCCCTCACCCCCCGAGCGGCCTCGACGACGGCGCGACGAGACGGGGGATCGTCGGCGTCGGCGGCGGCGGCGTCGTCGCCTCCTGCCCCGCCCCTCCTCCCCCTCCCTCTCCCTCGCTTCGTGCTGCTCCCCCCCCCCCCCCCCCCCCTCCTCGACCCGGCTTGGTCGTCCTTGTGCAGCTCTCGGATCGAAACTTGTTGAAATGGACTCCAGGGGCCTCTGCGCCACTTGTGGGGCTGGCCGCTGCCGCCGACGACGACGAGGACGACCACCTCCATCATGACCGCGATCGCGGCGTCTGCTTTTCGGAGGTTTCCTGGCGTTTTTGGAAATTCTCGTCGCCGTCGCCAGGGTGGACGCCCGAAGGGGGCCTGAGACCCGTGTTGACCCCATGTTGTTCGTCATCGTTCCAGTCCGGAGCACGAAGCGCGACGAGCGGCTACCTTCGCACTCCTGCGGGTGACCTGCGGCATGCTCCTGCAGTGATGACGTCGGCCGTGGCTTCTCCCACCGCGCAAGCCGCTCACAAATGTAACGACCTCCGCCCCCGGACGTCCCCAGAGGCTGACGAACCTGCGATTCGCCGGCGTGCGCGTGTGGAGCAAGGTCGATCCCATGGTTCTTGCTTGCTCGCTCGCTCGCTGGCTCCTCCTGCTGCTCTTACTGCTGCTCCTCCTTCTCCGCAACCTCCCCCTCGTCATGCTGCTGCTGCTGCTGCTGCTGCTGCTGCTTCTGCTTCTCCTCCTTCTCCTTCTCCGCCTTCTCCTTCTCCTTCTCCGCCTCCTCCTTCTCCTGAGCCCCCTCTTCAGCCGCCCTCCTCCGAAGCCCTCCAGCCGCATGTGGAAGTCCGCAGGAACCTCCGGAACTGACCGAAGACCTTCGAGAACATCGGAATGCCTTCGAACAACTACTGCCCTGCCGCTGTACAGGACTCTCCTGATTCGGCAGGGCTTGCCGACCGTAGAGTGGACACTCCGAAGCCCCGACTGCGTCGTGTCCGAGCTGTGGTTGCTGTGCGGCCTCCCCTAGAACAACCTTCAACGCTTGACAATATCGCGGGATCTTTGAGAAACTGGGAAACTGTCTCTGCGTGTTAACGTATGTGTGCTAGCGTTTTGGACACACTCTCACAAGAGAGGCGACACGTAGTGTCGTGGCGAACTCCTCTTGTCGCCTCCTGTATTATTTCTCTCTCTCTCTCTCTCTTTCTCTCTCTCTCTCTCTGCATGCGCACACAATTTGGTTTGCCGCTAACACGTGATGGCAGGACACCTGCGAGCACATCGGACAACGTGCTGGTGCAATTCGGCTGTCGCGCCCTGAGGGTCTGACACGCTCTCGTTCCACAGCGTCGGCGGAGAAAAAAGGAGGAAACAACGTGTTTGAAACGCGGCAGCCTGGGTCAACCTGAACTGCCACCACAGCACTGGCGCCTAGGCCAGCGCTGGCGACCCGCTCACCTGGATTCACGCCCGCGACGTGTCCAGCCGCTGGCTTCCCGCTCGGCGACGAGCACACACACGGCGAGTGCGAAGTAGACACTGTAGTAGAAGGCGTCACCCAGGGCCTCTGGCGTGGCCGCCGCATCTGCGCCGGAGAGGGCGCCCTGCAGGACTCGCGCGGCGAAGAAAACGACGCGCTGCGACGCCACCCAGACGCCCGCGGCCATGTGCCGCAACGCCCACTTGCGGTGATCGCCGACGTCCCCGGGGCTGCGGGTCCCAGTCAGGAAGACCTGGGCGCCGGTGAAGACAAACCAGGCAGCGATGGCACGCTGAAGGCACACGTTGAAGGGCGGCAGATTTCCTCCCAACAGGCTCGAGCTTAACTCGTCGAAAGCCTGCGCCACGCCTCCACCGCAACCGGCAAAATCCACCACTTCTGCATAAAGATTTTTCTGGTCTATAACTGCATATCCGACCATCAATACCGAGGCTGCCGCAAGCATCAATCGTCCGCCCCAGCGATGGATAGCTCCGTCTTGAGCTCTACGCACCGCGGAATTGAGCTGCAGCGGCGCAAGCAAACACCATACAACGCCGGGCAGTGCATGAGTCCAGCCTACCGTCTGGCCAATAATGCCGTACTTGTATATCAGGGAAGCTGGCACTATGAGTTCCATGCCGAAGTTCTTGAAAGCCTCGCGGCCGAGAGCGTCGTGCTGGTCGGAGGAGCCAATCCAGAGACTGCCAGGGATTGCAAACACCCAGAAGGCCATGAAAACGGCACTGCACATTAGAGCCAGCTGTATTCTGACCTTGTTCTGCCCTTTGGGTAGGTTTTTGGTATCCTTCGAACCTGGCAGGATCTCATCGCCAGCACTGCTGCATCTTGCGACCATGAAGGTTCTTCTCCTGCGCTGTGTGCTAGGCATGCCACGCGGACGGGTTCGCCGTCCGCCGCCACTGGCAAATGCTCCTGCAGCGAAGAATGGTGCTCGATGCAGCGTGGAATTCCAGAGCGAGCAGGAGTCAGCAATGGCTGCAGCATGCGCTGGTCGGCTGGCCGCCGTGCATCCTGAGCGACATGCGCAAGAGGCTCGCCGCGCTGGAATCAAGTCCTACCGCCCCTTTTGAAGGGGCCCTGGGACACGCAAATAAATGGACACAAATAAGAGGAGTGCCCATAATCCCACCAGCCCTCTGGGCGTCGGTGGTTTAACGAGTCCCACCAGCCCTCTGGGCGTCGGTGGTTTAGAGCGTTTCCTCTTCCACCCCTCCTTCTTCCCCTTCGGGGAGGGGTTTACCCCTCCCCCTACCCCCTCCCCACTGACCTGGACAGGGGGTTCCGCGGCGCGTTGGAGCGCCCAAGGTGGCCCAAGACGGCTCCAAGAGGGCCTCAGGGAGCCCAAGATACCCTCCAAGATGGCTCAAGATAGCGCAAGATGCCTCAAGATGGTCCCCATGATGTTCCAAGACGTTCCAAGAACTCCCCAAGACGGTTCCAAGTGCCCACAAGAGCATCATTAGGATGCATCCAAGAGACGAAAATGCTTCAAAACCCTGGGGAAAATAAATGCTTTTGGTGTTCTCACGTTTTCGCTTGCGATGCATATCCGACGCGTCAAGATGGCTCCAAGATGGCTCAGTATAGCTCCAAGAGGGGCCCAAGAGAGCCTCAGGATGGCGCCAAGAGCGGCCACGAGCGCTCCAAGAGCGATCCAAGAGGGGTCCAGGAAGCGATGTTTGGAGCTCCTGGGAGGGGGGCTCTAATTAAGGAACCCCACTTCCTTGGCCGATGTCCTCCAAAATTGCCCCAAGAGCGCCCCAGCAGGGCCTTCAAGGCCCCAAGAGGCCCCCCAAGAGGCCCCAAGGAGGCCCCCAAGAGACCCCCAAGAGGCCCCAAGAGACCCCCCAGAGGCACCCAAGGGGCAAAGATGGCCCCAAGAAGCGCCCAGGAGGCCCCCAAAGGCCCCAAGATGGCCCCAAGAGGCCCCAAGAGGCCCCCAGGAGGCCCCAAAGAGGATCCCGAACGGCCCACAGAGGCCCCCCCGAGGCACCCAAGACGCCGAAAAGCCCCTCAGGACGACCCTCTACTCGCCTGGGCGTCGTTTCTGGACGGGCTGGTGGGGATACGCGAAGCGTCTAGAATTTCCTTTTCCACCCCTCCCTCTTCCCCTTCGGGGAGGGGTTTACCCCTCCCCCTACCCCCTCCCCACTGACCTGGACAGGGGGTTCCGCGGCGCGTTGGAGCGCCCAAGATGGCCCAAGACGGCTCCAAGAGGGCCTCAGGGAGCCCAAGATACCCTCCAAGATGGCTCAAGATAGCGCAAGATGCCTCAAGATGGTCCCCATGATGTTCCCAGACGTTCCAAGAACTCTCCACGACGGTTCCAAGTGCCCACAAGAGCATCATTAGGATGCATCCAAGAGGCCAAAATGCTTCAAAACCCTGGGGAAAATAAATGCTTTTGGTGTTCTCACTTTTTCGCTTGCGATGCACATCCGAGGCGTCAAGATGGCTCCAAGATGGCTCAAGATAGCTCCAAGAAGGGCCCAAGAAAGCCTCATGACGGCGCCAAGAGCGCCGAAGAGCGCTCCAAGAGCGGTCCCAGAGCGGTACAGGAGACGATTTTTGGAGTTCCTGGGGGGGGGGCTCTAATTAAGGAACCCTACTTCCTTGACCGATGTCCTCCAAGATTGCCCCAAGAGCGCCCCAGCAGGGCCTTCAAGGGCGCCCAGACGGGTCCAAAGGCCCCCAGGATGCCCCAAGAGGCCGCAGGATGGCCCCAAGATGGCCCCAAGAGGCCCCCCAAGAGGCCCCCAGGAGGCCCCCAAGAGACCCCCAAGAGGCCCCAAGAGACCCCCCAGAGGCACCCAAGGGGCAAAGATGGCCCCAAGAAGCGCCCAGGAGGCCCCCAAAGGCCCCAAGATGGCCCCAAGAGGCCCCAAGAGGCCCCCAGGAGGCCCCAAAGAGGATCCCGAACGGCCCACAGAGGCCCCCCCGAGGCACCCAAGACGCCGAAAAGCCCCTCAGGACGACCCTCTACTCGCCTGGGCGTCGTTTCTGGACGGGCTGGTGGGGATACGCGAAGCGTCTAGAATTTCCCATATTTTCTGGGTGTTCGTCGTCCCCCCCACTTCCTATATTTTCCTGCATTTTCCTGGGAGTCGACGATTACTTGTGTATGTGTGTTTCTTCCTCTCCTGACCTTTGGGCCAAGGTGGTCCCTTCGTGGAGGCGTGCCCCCGCCCTCCCCTCCCCGAAGTTTTTGCTGGGGGGCTCCGCGGCTTGCTAGGGGGTCCCGCTTTGCCCAAGAGCGCCCCAACAGGGCCGCAATGGGCGATTTCGAGGGCCCCAAAGGAGGGCCAAACGTTACGACACTCTCTTTTCACCGACGCCCTCCCCCCCTGAGGCTTTTGTGGGGGGGGCTCCGCGGTTTGCTACGGGGGTCCCGCTTCTCCCAAGATGGCTTTACGAGGGCCTCCGATGCTCCAAAGATGGCCTCCGCGGCGGCTCAAGATAGCCGAAGATGGCTCAAGCTGCTTTCCGACACACCTCCAGGAGGCCCGACCGGGGCCACAAGACGGTTCCGAGTGCCCCCGCATCCCCCATCAGGCCCAAGAAGCCAACATGCTTCAAAAACCGGTCGAAAATCAATGCTGTGTGCCTTCTCGCCTTTTCGCTTCCAATGCGCTTTCCTGGCCTCACGATGGCTCCAGTATTGCCCAACAGAGGCCCAAGATGGGCCTAAGGCCTAAGAGGCCCTACAATTCGCCGGCCCAACGGGCCAGAGGCGTGCTAAGATCTCCGGTAACCACTTAACAATATTTCTAGTTCGCGCGCTCGGGGCGGCCCCTGGGAGGCCCCGGACGAAAGGTACCCCGGCCGATCCCCGGCCGATCCCCAGGGGGGAGGCTATTTTTCGCCACCCCTCACGAGGATCGTCGCCTCCGAGGGGGGGGCTGCCAACGACTACCGTCCTCCCGCCCCAAGGGGCCCCCAAGAGCCCCCCAAAGGGCCCCAGGGGAGCCCAATACGCCGCCAAGGAGCCCCAAGACGCTCCCAAGAAGCCCCCAAGAAGCCCCCAAGACGGCCCCAAGAGGCCCCAAATAGCGCTCCAGGGTCGGCGGAATGAGCGAAGCGATAAATAATTTATGTTCGTTGCGCGAAGTGCGCCATCGGAAGACAGCCGTCTGAGAATCCCCAATCGTGCCAAAATGCAATTCCTGGGACTTCAGCGACGCGAATCAACGTCGCTGTTGCGCCTTGCCAGTCTCAATCCTAAATTGTGCCAAGACACCCGTCCTGGGAATTCAACACCGCGAATCAACGGGACCGCTGCGACTTCAACCATGCGAGCACGTGAACCTACTGCAAACTGTTAAGGCGAATGCGCGCAGCGAACAGGCGAGAGCCACAGTTTGAAAATGAACCGCCCTCTATCGTCGAACTCCCACCAGCCCTGTGGGCGTAGGTGGTCTAACGGAGAGTGGTACCCTCCCCCGCCCCTCCCTGAGGTTCTTTTTTGGGGCGGTTGCGAGCGGTCAGGGCTCCCAAGATGGCCCAAGATGGCTCCAGCAGGGCCTCCGATGCTGAAAGATGAGCTCCAAGGCGGCTCAAGATAGCCGAAGATAGTTCATGCTATTTTCCGACATTCCTTCGAGAGGCCCGACCAGGGCCACACGACGTTTCCAAGTGCTCACGAATCCCCCCAAGAAGCCAAAATCCGTTCAAAACCGATTAAAAATCAATGATGTGCGCCTTCTCGCCTTTTCGCTTCCGATGCGCTTTTCAGGCCTCAAGATGGCCCCAAGATGGCCAAACAGAGGCCAAAGATGGACCTGAGAGGCCCCCAAGAGGGCCCCAGGAGCGCCCAATATCGCCCCAAGAGCGCCCCAACAGGGCCGCAATGGGCGATTTCGAGGGCCCCAAAGGGGGGCCAAACGTTACGACCCCTCGCTTTTCACCGACGCCCTCCACGATAGCCCCTAGAGGCCCTCCAGGGCTCCGAAGAAGCCCCCAAGAGAGCCCCAAGAGGGCCTCTGTCGTCGTCGTCGTCGTCGTCGTCGTCGTCGTCGTCGTCGTCGTCGTCGTCGTCGTCGTCGTCGTCGTTGTGGTCGTTGTGGTCGCCGTCGTCGTCCCCGTCGCCGTCGTCGTCAGCGTCATCGTCATCGTCGTCGTCGTCGTCGTCGTCGTCGTCGTCGTCGTCGTCGTCGTCGTCGTCTTCCTCCTCCCCCTCTTCGTCCGAGGGCCCGAAGAAAGCCCCAGGACGGCCCCAAGAGCGGCCCGAGAGCGTCCCATGAGGGCCCCAACTCCTCCTCCTCCTCCTCCTCCTCCTCCTCCCCCTCCTCCTCCTCCTCCTCCTCCTGCTCCCCTCGTCCCATTCTCCATGGATCCGCCGAGCGTTGTCTCACTAGATGTGTCTATTCGTTCCTTTTCCCGTCAACTCTTATGGGCAAGGTGTTTGAACGGGCTGGTTGTGATACGCGAAGCGTGAAGAATTGCCAACGGAGCTGCTAGGCACCATGGGTACCGTTACCAGCACCAGATGCACATAGCCAACGAGGCAGCTTGGATATTGAGCCAAATGGCTATGGCAGGTGGAGGGGAGATGGGGACAGGCGGGGGGGGTGGCAGGGGAAGCGGGATACGGGGGAGAGCCCAGGCAGGATGGTGGGACGGTGCTGGGGGGGCCGAATGGGGAGATGGGAGAAGTGGATAGCGATAGATAGGAGGGGTGCCGTCGGGATGGGGGCACGACAAGGGGGAAGGGTGCGGCAGCTTGGGGCGGATTGGGGGGCGGTGGGCGGGGAGGAGGAGGGGCTGAAGGGAGATACGGGCGTAGAGATGTGACA